ACAACTACAACTACAACTACAACAACTACTACAACTACAACTACAACAAAACAACCAACCAACTAACTAACTAACTAACTAACTAACTAACTAACTAACTAACTAACTAACTAACAACAACAACCAACAACCAACAACAAACAACAAACAACAACTAACAAGTAACAACTAACAACAACAACAACAACAACGACAACAACAACTACTACTACTAATAACAACAACTACTACAACATACAAACAACATACAACATCTTGTTGCATCCAAATTTATAAAATAGGACGGAATAATATAGAAATATATAAAGTGATCGCCATATTATTCACACACCCTGATTAGTTTAGTGGGACGGAATAACAATAGGTTGTTCACCCAGGGTGTTTTTTGAAGAATTCTTGATTTGTCTACAATTACTACTACTACTACCACCACCACCGCTACTACTACCACCACTGCCACCACTACCACTACGACTACGACTGCGACTGCGATTGCCACTCCTACTTTTACTACTGCGACGACGACTACTTCTACTGCTACTGCTATAACAACAACATTAACAACAACATTAACAACAACAACAACAACTACTACCCCAGAGGATCCAAACATTACAATACAGACTACTTTCAGTGAAAGTATATTCTCCTGCACACCCCACTTTCGTAAAAAAAGGCCTTGTTTTCACACTAGCTCAAATTGTCATGATTTGATGGTAGGTCCACCAACATGCAGCAAATTACCAACTGCTTTACAGCCGGGTCAGGCCACAGCTGAATCTGAATTGGAATCACTAGTATCATCATACTCATGATCCATGAACCTCAACTTAATGTACATCTTGAGGAGCACGTGAAACTCTAAGTTCGCTGGATGTGTGCTGGATGCAATGCCTCAGATTGCAATATATGCATACTGCACTGCAGCTGGTGTACACAGTAGACAAACACAATTGATGTGAGCAAGCAAGCTATAAGGATACTAGCGGCCAAGGTACGCTTAACATGCTTCATCCATGATTCCTGCTTGAAGCAATGCAGGAAACGGGAATTGATGCCTTATATCATCAAAGGCAGTCCTCTCACACTCACCTCTGTAGGGTACACCAGTTGTTCAAGCTTAATGACTTGTGTAGTTGCAGTGTAGTCCATGTTTTTGAATGCAATTGAGGTGCAATCCTCCACCTGTGAATAGGCCAGTTCCTGAAAAGCCTTAGGGCAAGGTGAGGTTGCTAAATTTTTCACACAAGGGTAATTTAAACACTCACCAGTGCTCACCAGTGTGGCCAGGCAACGTGGATTTTGGGACGGGTGGGCCAAAGCAACTCGCCATTGTGAATTGCCCTCTCTGCCAGGCTCAGGTATGACTGCAGGCAGATGTCCTCAGGTATGACTTCTTATAAGTCAAACAAAAGCAACAACAAATCCCACACTGTAGGGCATCACTCCATTATATATTTTGTTTTTCAGATCCATGAGTATATCATGATCATATAGCAAGCTAAGGGTCAGATATCTTCATCATGTGTCTGGCTTCATCCTCTTGCAGGTAACGTGGTTTGCGTTCAACTTGGTTGAACCACTCAGCCAAATGGTACCTGGTTCAGTCATATAGGGATGCACCGGCACAAGAAATTCCATAGAGCTTTCAACAAGGAGACATCACAAATTTATAAAGCACCAAAGGCACATGCACGTAGCCACCTGCTTGAAGTGCTCAGAGCCCGACCAGTGTGATTTCCACAGGCTGCAAGTCATATCACTAAGCCAGGCAGTGACAACTCTGGCCTAGGACAGAACACTTTTAAACACTCACACTAGTGTATACGTATGTTGCCATCCACCCTTTGCTCATACCCATGTGTGCATGAACAAAATTGCCACTAAAAAAAATCCCAGTAGCATTGTATGCCTTTGCCCTCAACTCAGGATAGGCAGAGTTTGCAGCTCCCAAGATGAAACATGGCTGGCTGTGCCTGCAGGAGAGAACCACACTTGGACTGAAAGTATTTTAAGCATATATATATATATGTATATGGATGGTTCCCCTAGGCCAGATGCATGCAAAGCAAATGACATTTTTTAGTCAAAGTGTGTAATTTGGACTAGCTGCGGGATTTTGTTCGTCTTGGCCCACTCCAAGAATTGTCTCCATGCCCGGCTAAGCTTCGTATCGGTGTCAACACCCTGCCCTCCAAAGACTTCCAAATCAATCAGTGTTTGAAGGCAGGAACCTGATGCCCAAGACACAAACCCAAGATTGAGTGAATGCATAGCACACATCTTGACCTGCTGTGGGTGGAAGCTCGCAATGGTGGTAATGGCACCTTGGCTTGTGTGGGTTGAATTTTTGGGGCATGATGGGGCATGTGAGTGGGGAGTGGGTTTGCCTGGTTGTGATACTATTGCGTGCAAGTAGCTCTTTTCACCACGTCTGCAGGCATTGGATACAAAGTCATCAAGATCCCTTCGAGTTTCCTGCTCTAGCCTGTTTGGTGTGCAAAGGTATGCATCTTTTTTGGCGTGACATTTGTAGCAGATCTCTTTCGCATTCCACACGGCACATAGGTTGAACCACTCCTGCACAGTACTAGGTAACAAGGACCATGTTCATGATCTACAGTGCATGGTGGCAACAAGTCCTTGTGAAACTTCCAGTCTGCTTGGTACTGTGTGATGGTGCACCGAATGCTTTCTTTGCTTGACCGGTTGCGTAGATTCAAAGGCACTCCATGGAATAGGGTATTGAAAGATATGGCAACCTCACAAACACAATATCCCTCACAGTCTGTTTCATCAAACCTGTAATTTTTTGGGTCCAATTAATGGACCTTTGTGCAAAGAAGAAGCCGGCTTCAAGAGAGCTTGAAGGGTGTCAAATCCAACCGATTGGTCCTTGGTGGGGGGTAAGAAAGGGAAATCAAATCTATATAAAGTTGAGACCCCTAGACATCAACAATAATGAGAAACAATATCAGACAAGTATCAAAGCGGTATGCAAAGAGAGGCCAAACAGTTTGGACACAATGGGTTCTATCATCAAGAACGCACCCCATAGATACTGCCACAATCTTCTGTCCCAATTCATTGTATTGGGCATCATCTCCCCACAGCCAAACTGGTACATGGGCATGGTGACACAGAGCAACATGGCTCTTTGCCCATTCAAGGTGTCCAGAGAGGTGCTCCCAGTACTCTCGAAGGCGGGCTGGATCCATAGCCTCTGTTGGGAAGAGGTCGTGTTCCACCATCCATGGTAGGAGCTTGTGAGGTAAGACCACTGGGAGTTTCCTCATGTCCAATATTGCAAAAAAGGTGTTTGTCAAAAAAACCATGCGCATGCATTAATATTGTTTCACAGGGTTGAATTCTTTAAATTTGCCAAGGCTCTTGTACATGGTGCCTCCCGATTTTTCATCCAATACGGGCACATCCACCATATCCACTGGTACCTTATCTACAGCATGCCAATATTGTTGAAACCCACTCATATACATATATGTAGATCTTGCAAATTGGAGTACAGCACACATGCATACTAAAAAATTCAAACATAACACTGCTCGTTTCACCTTTCGCAAAAGGTCCCGTTGAATATTACCCTTCCAACGGCCACCACAACCAGCCATCCTGAGTTCTTCAGATGGCCCACTCAGATGTACACCATGAAATGCCATCTCCTCCAGCTAGCCATAGACAGCTTAGAGGCCAGCTGATATGATGAAACCAGCAAGCCCTCTCACAACTAGGCAGTCCTTGCCCACAGCCTCCATCATTTTTTGTGACCTCTCAAAGGATGTATCCTTAGCTGAGGCACTTGGCCCATGACCAGATGCAACGTCAATGGTGCAAAGGCTCTTGAGGAGGCTTGGGTGATGATGCATGAGGGATGGTCTCAGATAAGGCTCTCCACCACCAGCGGACTCCATCACATAATCGAACAATGGTGATGTCATTGGGGCTGATACACCTGCGTGGAATCAAATCGTATAAGTAAGTTGCAGCACTCTTGGCAGCAAATGCAAATTGAAAGGTACAGTTATTAATCAACATCGAGAGATTCTTTTCAATTTGCGGAGATGTTGTTTCCCTGTTCCCAAAATCTAGCACTCCCACACAAATACCTGCACAGTGATCCACTCTATACAAATACTAAAACATGTGTGATCTAGTAAGTAGGCATTTTGGGAAGCTGCAGGTACCTGGTAGGTTGGCTGCCCAATTGTGTGAGCT